GAATTTAAAATTTTAACTTTATTTATTGGCCTGATTTATTATAACTTTTAGAGTGATTGTGGACCCCGTCAAATATTAGAACTTGCTCCTCCTTCAATTGTTCCAATAAAATCATATCATTAAGTTAGTAAATGAAATTAGATTTTTATCATAATGACTTAAAAACCCAAAAGAATGCATTCTTGTCATTTAATTGACATTCGAATGCATTTAGTGCTCGGAACTATTCACATTCTAATGACCACAATCATTATATGTCTTCAAATTGCTCATTTTTTGCCTGCCTCTTGCAACGGCTTTAAGCATAATTCCTCTGTGGAGGGATATTCTTCTTTTTTTACTATTGTGTGGAGGGATATTCATATGTTAGGATCTTTTCATTTAGACCAGCTACATTGGTTTTTCCCTTTTGTATCATTTATGCACACCAGATTGTATATATATATATATATATATTATTTTAGATTATGCATGAACTATAAAATTTTAGACCCAAAATTTTAGAGGAGAAATGGCCGTGGAAGAAATTCCGAAATAGAGGTCAAACTGAATACATTGATGCTTTTGGGCAGCTTAATATCTTTTTGAACCTTATTCCAAAATAACCTGAGTTGAATTTATGGTATCTAGATTATATGTTAGGGATTTAATGTGTGCATTGTAACGAGTTTTTTACTTTTACTTTTATTTTATTATTTTTTTTTGGGGGAGTTCCAATATTTTTATTCTTTGTATGTGTTATATATATATATATATATATATATATATATATTGGATGTTAATGCATTTTACCAGTTACGTTTACATATGTGTTATACTTGTAGTTGATTCCAAATTGATTTGTTTGCATAGGAATATATTGAAGCTAGTGGAGGAGAAGCTAGTGGAGGAGAAGCTAGTGGAGGAGATATCACTGAGGTGTTCAAAACATTATTTCATTTAACAACTTTTGGTATAATTACTATTTTTTTTTATTAAAGTTCACTTTAATTTGTGGGTTATATGATTTTGTTCTTGGAAACCTTGCAGGGATTTGAATATGTTCCTCCGTCATTAGATGAAAGTTCAACTGAACGAATTGTTCTAAACCAATCTTCCCAATCATCGGAACAAGGGCCTCTAGTCCACCCTGAACTGAAACAAGCAAAGCCGAAGTTCAATGTACATCAAATGACAAATCTTGAGAGTATTGAATATCTTACACAATTCCCGGATGTTATAAGGTCCTTCATTACTAGTGTCATAGATGTCCCGGGAGATGGACATTGTGGGTTTCGAGTGGTTGCCAAGTTCATGGAATTGGAAGACATTGGTTGGAAGAAAGTGAGGAAGGATCTACTATATGAGTTGGAGACATTTGAAACTAATTGCTTGCGAGTATTCTCTGGTGAAAAACGTGTGGCTGAATTAAAGCACTCCACTCAATGTGGGGACGCTACTGTTGACAGAGAACACTGGTTGATAATGCCGGATATGGGACATGTGATTGCCTCATGCTATAACATTGTCGTAGTCTTCATATCAAACCTGCAATGTCTCACTTTTCTCCCCCTCTGTCAACAAGCACCTCCAGAAACAAGCCATCGGATTCTTGGATTAGGTTACATCAACTCCAGTCATTTCGTCGGACTTGAATTTACTCCAGACTCCCCTTTACCACCTGTGTCGAACCTATGGAATGATCATCACAATGAACCGGCCAAAGGGTGGATAACTCCATATGTGAAGCGGATAGAGAAGTTCCAGGCTATGTTAGAAAACGATACAAATGTTGCAACTGTAGAAAACCTGACGGCATAGCTTAAAACAATGTTAATTTACTTTTGTTTTAGCAAAATTCTAGAAATTCTGAACTCCTCGGAGACGGAACGAATTAACAAGTAAAAGCATCATGCAGAATTTCATTGCCTCCAGGCAGGAAGTAATGTGGTTGGAATGGTTCATACAATCTTCTAACTTGATCTCTTTTCTCTCTCTTTTTTCATTCTTCCTTCAGTGATCTCAGAGGTTTTGACAAGCATTATTTCAGGCAGTGAGCTATAGAGGTTATAGAAGGGATATAGGAGCAGAGCTAGTGAAGCCTTGTGTAGGGATGTTGCGGAATGATCAGAGATTTGGTTGAATTTCGAAGTCCACTAACTTTGGTCATTTCAGCCTTGTTGTTGGACAAAGAATAACCGAAGCTTAAAACAATCCAGAATTTCCTTAGTTACTCAAGTTTTGTGAGAAAGGACAGGTTCTTAATTCAAACTTCAGGACTCTCTCTCTCTCTCTTTCCCTCCCTGTGTGTGTATGTACAAGTGCTCGCATCGCGAGTGTGTGCAACTGTGCATGTGTGTGTCTATGTGCAAGTGCGTGTGTGTGGTGTTTCTGTGTCCAACACAGCACTAGTAAAAACTTTTCAGTCATCCTATGCCACCATGTCTTAGGTGCAAGATAGTGTATGGAGATTTCAGACTTTCTCAAAGCGGAGGAGCTGCAAGAAGGGGTATGAAATGTAGAAGATGAGATCTAGAAGGCAGAGATCATCGGAACATCATGTAGCTGCCAACTCATTGCTATCCCCTCTCAAGACCCCCCTTAAAGACAGCCAAATTGTGCTAACAAAAGTCCAACATCAATTTCAATCCCGATCTTAGGATCCCAAATTTCAGAAGAGTCTCCCAAGCCAGATCCAAATATATATGGAGCTCAGGGCCCAAACTATTGCCACAATATCTACCATAGAGCTTCCCATTTTTAAGGCTTAGCCACTTGAATAGACAGATTTAATCATAGTGCACCTTGATTAATTTCGGGATCTACATATCAAATCAAAAAAACACCCACAAATTTATAAACATTCTTATTCAGTTCAGGTAGCACCAACACTTGTATGACTATTAAATGGTCCCGAATACTAGAATAGTACCACTCTGGTTTTTTTTTTTTCTTGCAAGTAAAATGAGGAACAAAAAAGCCATCAAATAAGACGAACCTGAGTACATGAGAAGTCCAAAAGGAGGAAGAAAGAAAACCAAAGGAACCCAAAAAACTGTCCTAAACCTCTACAATTGAACCATGTTTTCAGGGCATGATTACTTAACACCAAAAAAATTAAGCACTCAAATAATAAGCACTTCATCTAGCTACTAGCCAGAACGACAACCTTGGCATCTTGATTTCTTCTATATCCCTAGATAGTGTGCATGTGCTGCTCCATCATAAAAAAAACTGGCAGTACTACAGAGGAGGCTGAAATTTACCATGAAATCTATGGCAGCATCAACATATGCGCCAAAGAATGCCTTTGCATAAAACACCAGGTCAATTCTACACCACAAAGGATGGGGCAAATATAATTTTTCTCTTCTTTTTTATGATATTGATAAAGAAGGATGGGCCAGGTTCATACCTTAGATAACCCACCAACTACGACACCAGGTATTCCATTGAAAAAGTTAAGCACTCTGAAGTACATAAAGTTTGCCAATGTGGTGTGTGAGGGACACAATTAGAGTGAAGAAGGTCTTAACTTGGTGGAGCTGCTGCAGATGTGGTGTAGGTCAGTGTGAGAATAAGGGGCCTTGTCCTAGCCTCATCCTTAAACCTTCCTATGAGAATTGACACTCCACCCCTTATTGAAACTATAGTGCTATTGTGCCTTTACATTTTTTAATATATATAATAAGGCGCTTTTCTATTTATTTTTCGAAGTCAAGCAAGAAGCCTTTCGCTGCTCTAGAAATATCAGGTTCTCACAACAACTCTCAGGGCAAACTCCTTAATTTGCAAAAGGCCCAACCATACTTGTAACAAATTGTTGAACAAGGCGGAAAGGAAAACAAATTTGATGCTGATTATGTACTACTATAGGAGAGGAGCAGAAGCAGCTCAGCATAATGTTTAAGAAATGAAGAACCACGCTAGTATTCAGTTTTCGAAAAGATGAACCTTCTTATCAAGGCCCATAAAATTATAACACAACAGTAAACAATTGCATGCACTACTGAAGCCTATGAAAGCAAATTATGGGATACAAATAAGAGCAAACAAACTAAATAAAATAAAAGTTCAAAGAGCACACTGCATCATTTGACAAATGGAATTGAATAAATAACACATAAAGGATATTCAAAGTCACACAAAAGCTATTTAGTTTACTGTCTAGCCCTATATGGAGCACCAGTAATAAAACATTCTTGCTTTTGAGTTTCACAAATTTATGAATTTGAGGCTTAGCAGAAGTATGAATTGGCCATAAATGCTCTCAGCCAATAATATGTGGAATGGAACAGAAATATAAAGGGCTTCTGAAGAATATAGCCAACAATGAAACAAGGAACTCTATTATACCATCGTAAAGAAAGCTGAAGATATTCAACATAAACAAGCATTAATCAAGCTTAAAAGGCAATACATGTCTCCAGGACAAGATATAGCCCGCGAATGCAAATCATGTGCCCTTAAACATGTCCTGTTCTTAGTATCTGCAATCCAGGTTGGATAAATATTTAGCAACAATGAATTTAGACCCAAAGTTTGTCCACTGTTCTACTGTGTGACAGCTAGGAACACACTGATGTTTTCAAAACCAGCTGAATGCACACATCATGACTCACAGGGTGACACTTTTGTGTAATTCCCTTTGTGAATCCCAAAACAAAGCCTTTAAGTTTCCATGGAAGATAAGGACTACTAAGGCATTAGTGTCATATATTACACAGAAGAATCTTATCTAGCCATAAGTTTTTTAATTGGACAAATCACTTGCAAACTATTGTGACTTCAGAATTTTAGTTTATAAATATTATAACTGATTAAAGGTATATGGTAAGCACAACAAAATAGTCTAATTGACTAGTAGTGGACTAAAAGTGATTGACCTTTAAGTTTTCCTTCCTTTCCCTTCTTTTGAAGCTCGTACACACTGTCAAGTGTCAGCTATCAACTTCTGCTGCTCTGCATTGAAAACACCAGTGTGCAGCTCAAGTCCAGCAACAACGTTCATCATTTTCTCATTAACAATCTCTATTCTTCCAAAGTCTTTCTTCCCCTTGATCTCCGGAAACCGTATCTACTCGCTTTGCTCCACATGATAGTAGCACCCTTGACCAATCAGCAGGCACTAGTGAATCACTCTTTTGACTCATTGAGGGCTCAGAAAGGATCTCCGACCACCCATTCGCTCCATCCTCCCAACCACCCAATGAATTTGTATCTAGTAGCACCCTTGACCAATCAGCAGGCACTAGTGAATCACTCTTTTGACTCATTGAGGGCTTAGAAAGGATCTCCGACCACCCATTCGCTCCATCCTCCCAACCACCCAATGAATTTGTATCTATGTTCTGCACAAAAAAAAGGAAAAAAAAGAAGATGAATTTATGTTTGTTGTAACACTCGTATCCAACTATGTCTTTTCCACTCCCAAATGGATTCCCGTGATAATATTCTTGATTGTCATTATATTCATTATAATCCATATCCTTCGGAGTTGAGACAATAATAGTAAAAAAGTTTGATGATACCCTAAGCCAAGCACTTAAGCGTCATGGAATTTTCTTTAAATCCTTAAACTATATCAATAAGCAACTAACTGAATTTGAAACAAAACTACTCATCACAGACCTATAATTGTTTCTAATAGAAGAAGATGTCGTATTTCATGCTTGGCACTTCAATAATGATAGAAGCCAAATGAAACACATCATCATTGCAAATAAGTTAATCATCAGCAGAATTTAAAACACAAGTTGCAAGTAAAATATTTGACTCATGAATTCTTTTGTAGAAATGTCATATGAGTCATACCTGAGCACGAGGAGAGCATTTGTGGAAGCCACAAGTGCAGATCCAGTCACCATTCTGCCATCCTTTTGAAGCAGTTAGAAGTTGATCTGCTTGGTTTCCATACGAAAGACTAGAAAATTGGTTCCCAGCAGCAAGAGCCCAAATAGAAGTTGGCCATACCCCATAATTATTTGCAGGCTGACCTCCATGCATATTAGCCCCTCTAATGCAATCAAAATGGAAAAGCAAATATTAAGGGATAGGGGAGTTATTTGAATTACAACAACACTATTCTTAAGAATTTGATTTTACCACCTTCGCCTTACCAACTCATATAGACAATTGGATTAGGTGGTCCCATTAATATCTAAAGATTGTGGCTGTGCTCCGGCAAGTGTTAAAAAATTTGGTAAGAAAAGCTGGTAAGAGCAGAATTTTTGTTGCTATTAGTTTGAACTGATTTAGTTTTAAGTTTGGAGTATTCTACAGTCAAAAATTTTGGTCTAATTATGACAAGATTTTATTTATCTAAGTCTGCTTTTCATATAGGAAATACTTGGGTAGAAAGTTTCTTTGGGACAAAGAAAATTCCTTTTATTAAGTCCTATGTAACTATATATCTGCTCCTAAAAGATTGAGACTATGTGTTTCTTTATTTTATATTTTATGTTGCTGTTCTCAGGTCTAAGCTCATAGAATTAAGCCTTTATGTGGAAAGTTAATTATTTTGGTCTCTATTTGCCAGAACACTAATGTAATGGTCCTAGTCCTTCCTAATTTGATTAAACGATATCTGAAAATTCAGTTTTGATTCATATTTTTGTCGTATACATCACCAAACCACTACAGCTTTAGGTTTCTCACTCCGAAAGTCATGAGGGTCATCATTATGTAACCAAGAAACCAACCGGTCATACACAAGGGTGTTTGATTAGATGTACTTGATTTTAATGGAAAAATGAACCTAGAAATATCATTGATTGGCTGCTCTCTAGTGTGGACAATTTTTTTGCTTGGCTTGAACAAACTGAAAGGAGAAAAGGGGCAATTGAAATGTGATGGACAAGAATTCAAGAAGCCAACAACAGAAGGTGTGGGAGAGAGGAAGCAGCTACATGAGATGTGATGAAAAGTCTTCTAGAAGGTAGATTGCTTTGCATGGCCTACCAACTAAAACTATTCGTGCAATTTCATCAACTTCAACAAGGTGATGACAGTGTTAAATTGACTAAACCGAGAAGTTTTACAAGTTGTCCTTGAGGGCAGAAGTTTATGAAGCAGAGGAAGTCCTCACAGCAGTTACGGGCTGATCAATGCATTGCTATCCACGATGAGATGGCTGGTTTTAGACAAGCTTGTAGAGAAGACATATCAAGTTGCTTCAAAGAAAGATCAGAAATTAAAGAACTAATCCATGAGGGAGGGAAATAAAAACAGGGTTGAATTTCAAATGCTCTTTTCAAATTATGATAACAAAGCATACCCTCACTGAGAAGATTGACACTAAAAAATAATTACTTCAAAGGAAAAGAGGTCATTCTCACAGGCTCGGCAGTACCCAAGTCTGGTTCACACCACACCACACGAAGGTCCTTTTACTCCCATTAAGTCCTTGCGAGAGCTATTCCTAAGATGTGTCTAGTTTATGGAATCTTAAACAATTGAAATTCCAGAGTAATATTATCCTAATTTAGTCCACATAAATTACACATCCAAAACTTGCCCACCATCTATATTCGATCAAGGCTTTCAACCACAAATATTATCTCATTAGTAGTGGAAAATCATAACGCAAATATGAGGCAAAACAATAGCTAAAACAGCATGAACTGATAATAAAACCAAATACAATGTTATAAAACATTTAACAAGTCTCTGGCCAGGGCCATTCCAAAAGGCATATACGAAAATTAGAAGCACATGCCAAACACAAACTATTCTGAAGCCAACATTGTCGGAAGTCCACTGGCCAAACTACTGCGGAAAAATTCTACACGATGCGAACAAGACACAGCCAATTGACAGCCCCACCATTAACCACAATGCTCAAAATGAGTGATTTCATATCAGATTATTGTATCAAAAATTGTCAACCCTAGTTATACAATGTTATCACAGAAAGGATTTTTCGTACCTGCGCAGGGCAATCGTCTCAGTCGTCTTCATGAGATTAACCATTGAAAGAGTCATAATTGGCAGAATTTTGGTTTCATCGCCATCGCGGGACTGTTTGCACTTGCTGCAGACGGATTCTAAGGCATAGTTGATGTTCTCACAATCGTTGCACTTCCAATTCCCTTCTCTCTCTCTCTCTCTCCCTCTCTCTCTCCTCCTCCTCCTCCTCCTGTCATCGTCCTTTCCTCTTCCTCTTTACAGACCTCTCTTAATGTGTATGTGTTTTGCTTAAGAAGAGAAACAGAGCTGATCACCGCCTTGGAAGCCTTCAAAAAACTGTACTTGGCGCGGTTATAGGTTGGTGTTTAGAGCAAATTACACTTTGACCACCAAATTATGCCCCTTCTATCCAACTATTCCCTCTTTCTTAGGGAACCCGAACCCAACCCGAACTTTTCAATATTTTGGCTGAGTTTTTTAATGCTTGGGTTAGGTTTGGGCAAAAAATTTTTAATCCAAATTGAATTTGGGTAATACTCGGATTGAGACTACAAATTTACGTGTTTAGAATCCAGTCCAAATTTATGAATTGGGGTTGAACATGAAATTTGAAAAAGAAAAAAATTACAAACAAACATACGTATATATAAAACGTTAAGACATTTGCCCCACATTCCTTATCCATTGTTGTAGATGTTTTAAGCCATTTTTTCAATTTGAATTTTGATTTAGAAGAAACTCAATTTTAACTCGAGTTTAACCCAAATTATGTAATCTGAGATCAACTTGAATTTAAAAATTCAATCATAGTTGAATTTGAGCTAGAGTTGCTTGGGTTGAGCTTGAGTTGAGTTAGGTTTGGGTAAAAAGTTTTATATCTTGAGTTGAAGTTGGTTAATCCCTCAACCAACCTAACTCACACGAGTTACACTTCTACTCTTACTTAGTCATATATATTTTCTATTATATTTTCCTGCACTATACTTTTAACTATGATTGTTGGTTTATAGTGTCCAATAATATAAATTAGAGACATGTACTACACAATTGGAGATTTTCTTTTTAAAACATGATGAACCATTTGTTTTTGAAGATGTGAAATCAGTTCAAATAGTTAAGAGAATAATAAGGAAAAATCAATAATTAAGAGGACAAAGTAAAAAAAGGAGGACAAAGTGAGGTGAATTCATAACTGAGAGAGTTTTTTTTTTTTTTGTTGAACTGATAACTAAGGAAGTTAAAATCGTGTAGATTTCTCCAATTTAGTCAGTAGGTTGACACCATTTGGTTATGTATTGTTGGTTTATTTTTTTATGGAGTCTAGTTTGTATATGTGATCCGGATGATGACCCGACTCGAAATAATGTTGTGTGGTTTTTTAATGGAAAATTTTCTGAGGCTTAGTCCATGGAGCGAAGGCTTGGGCCGATAGGCCCAAGCCGTAGCGCTCATGGACAAGCCTCGTGGGGGTTCGGGGGCAATGCCCCCGAGGAAAATTTTTTTTGGACCCGTTATACAGCCCAGTGCGTAGGACATATAAACCCTGTTGTTTTGGTGATTAGGGTTAATCGTGGATTGCACAGCCGCTCTCTGTATTCAACTCTCTCAATAGTGAAATCCCTGCAGCTTCGTGGACGTAGGCAAATTGCCGAACCACGTAAAATCTGTGTCTTGTTCTTTCTTGTTTCTTATTGCTTTATATTCTTGATTTGTTCTTCGATTGTGTGTGTTTGTTAGTGGATTTAAATCGTGTGAAATCCCAACATGTATAATACAAGATTTGGATATACATTAATTTACATGATTTATATATGATATGAACTCGGTAGGACACGAGTCAATTATACTGGCATATAAAATAAATTGGGTATAAACAAAATAAATTTTAACGGAATAGAAACTCAATATGACCTTACCCAATGCCCAAATGGTGTTACACTGTTAGCTAATGTTAATTGATGTATTTATAGTAGACTTTAATGTTAGGGCTGATTTCGTGGATAATAGCGACACTATGGAGTATGGAGAGAGTTAGATGTATACGTCCTTATTGTGTTCTCAACTACCGAGATAAACACATTCTTGGACCTTTTTGAATTAGATTACCAACGAGGAGAAGCGCCTTCAAAGGCATCCAGGTACTTGAAGTTTTGTAATGTGTCTTTATTAAGCTTGTTATAAACAACAACTTTAATTTTCACCTTAAAGTTCTATTTTTTAATATTCCTGTTTGTTTAAACCATGTAATTAGACAGTAAAGACCGATGACCTACGGAGTTTTAAAAATAAATTGAGATAATTAAAAGTTAATAGTGTATTAAAAAGCTAGTTGTATAGTTAAACATTAATGAATACCATATTTTTTTCTATTTCTAGTACAACAATTGCACACGGAAGTCCAATTTTTAGGTGCTTATAAGGCACCTAGTGGCAGTGGTATTTGGTGCCTATACCCAATGAGATTTTGCCACACAACTAGCTTGTGGGACACAAGTTAGATTTTTTCAAAAAAAAAAAGAAAAAAAAATTGGCAAAATGATAGATAACAATCATTCATTGGACATGTACAATTTTTTATTATTTATGTACACCATATAACACTGCCCACACAATATCAACATTTATAAATTCAAGAACGACCTACTATGTATAAACGGGTCTCTTGCTAATACACAACACACAAACTATCACTAATTGAAATTAGAGAAAATGCATCGAGCAGAATCTCAATCCTGGATTTAGTTCCATAAATATCAACATGACAGATATCACTTTAGAGATACATTAATCCTCTACATGTACCACCAACTTCTCTTGTGCTCATCATTTGCTATTTCCCCTAACACAAAAAAAGCCTCTCTCTCTCTCTCTCTCTCTCATGTTCTCTAAGCATGGTGGGAAAGAAAACCCAAGGTCGAAAGAAGATTGAAATGAAGATGATCAATAATGAAAATGCAAGAAGGATCACCTTCTCCAAGCGTCGAACCGGGTTATTCAAGAAGGCCAGTGATCTTTCTACTCTTTGTGGAGTAGAAATCGCCATTATCGTCTTCTCCTTAGGAGGCAAGGCCTTTTCTTTTGGCCATCCAAGTGTTGGT